GCGCCCAAATTATGGAGCTACCCCAAAAATTTATTGTTTCTTTGTTTGAATGTATATAAAAAAACAAGTCGTGATGGAATATATGTATTTATGTACCCTTATACTCTCCACGAATAGGCGACGCGTATCAGCCGTCCATCCGTCCCCGCCCTCATTTGTAAATCAAGCAGAAAATGTCGGAAGTGCCGCGTGGCCAGAAGCGCAGGCATGAAGGCACGGATATGGCAAGGAAGCGGCGACGCGTGCGTACTGGTAGCGAGGAGGCGCCTGATGAGACAGCGAGCAGCCTCGGGGGCGTTGCTGTGTTCAACAGCGAGTGGCGAGTGTTGGCAAAGGCCGGGTGGACGTCCAAGCAGCCTTCTACCAAGTCTTTGGACACACGCTACAAATACATTCGGCCTGGAAGGCGACACGACGGCGAAGAGGGGACTGACTACCTACTTGGAGAAATGGCCGTCCTAAGGTACATTGCGAAGACGCGCCTCCTCGAAGTCGGTGCTGAAGAAGGTATTGAAGGCGGAGGCCGAACTGAGGGGTGCTGAAGACGCCGTGGACTAATTGTGTTTTGTTTTGCTTTTGATATAGGCACCAGCGCTGCCAACGACGATGAAAGAGGCGAGTGCGGCGATCTTGGAGCAGGTGCAGCTCCCGGTGAGGCGGCAGCGGTCGGCCGTGCCGCCGATATGGGTGCTGGTGTTCCGGCAGCCGGCGCCGGTGCCGCGCGTGGAGCGAGAGGAGGGCGTGGAGCTCGGAGAGGGCGTGGCACTTCACGAGAAGTGAGCGGCGGAAGCGCTGAAGGTGTGGGTTGGGCTGTGACGGTGGTGCGGTTCTAGTAACTAACTGTGTGCATTGTTGTTGGTGCAAGGTGGAACGTTTGGCGATGCTGCGATGGCTGATGTCTGCCGTGCTGGTGCTATGGGTGCTGACGTTCTAGCAGCCGGCGCAGGTGCCGCGCGTAGAGCGAGAGGAGGGCGTGGAGCTCGGAGAGGGCGTGGCACCTCACGAGCAGCGAGCGGCGGAAGCGCTGAAGGTGTGGGTTAGGCAGTGACGGTGGTGCGGTTCTAGTTACTAACTGTGTGCATTGTTGTTGGTGCAGGTGGAACTTTTGGCGATGATGCGATGGCTCATGTCGGCCGTGCCGGTGCCGCGCGTGGAGCGGGAGGAGGGCCTGGAGCCCGGGGAGGGCGTGGAACCCGCGGCGGTCGTGGAACCCGAGGAAGAGGTGGAACTCGAGGATGGCGCGGAGCTAAAGGAGGGCGTGGAGGCCCTCGAGCCACGAACGCTGCCAGCACTGAAGGTGGCGGCAGTGCAGTTGGTGTTGTCGACTTAGCCGTCAGAGCCGGACATGTAACGCTAGCAGTGCGAGAAGGACTTGGTGCACAAGGAGGGCATGGGGGCCGAGGAGCTCTTGAAGTTCCCGCGAATCACTAGCGGCCCAATATCCGAAGGTGTGTTTATGAGTTTGGTATTGGTTTTAACCACAACGTAACAATCTGTTTGTTGGTACTGCAGACGCACGGGGCCGTGATGTTGGTGGAACTACGGTGCAGACAGTCAGTACTGGTCGCGAGATCCAAGGCCAAATTGCTGTAGGCCTAGAATCACCACAACCAGGGCGCGCAGCACCAACTGAGACAGCAACTCCTACACGTACGCCTCCCGTCATGCTGCAGGATGTCTACGTGGACAAGCTAGTTGCATTTTCGCCCGAAAAAGATCGATGGATGAAAGCAAAGGTCTACAGACCAATTGGCACGGCGTACATTATTGGTCGTGTGTATCGCCTAGTCAAAAAAGGGAAGAACGCTTCGCTGTTCCAGATTCTATGGCTAGACAGTCAGTTCCAGAGCGCTGTGGAGCATATCAGCGTTGGGATGGTGCAGGTTGGCATCAAAAACTACACTGTGCTTACACGCGTAAAGAACCCGGATTGGAGAATCCTCGTACGTCCCGATCCCACTGGAGATCGACTTTGAGGAAAATGATTCAGATTGCGAAGAAGAAGAAGTACTTGAAGCTTTCGATCCGACTGAGTTACTTCCAACCAGCCTCGTTGAAGTTGAAGCAATCCGAAGCATGCGCTTTGTTCCGTCTGGAGAAGTTCAGATGCCTTCGTATATGTACAAGCACGGTGATGGATCGACACGAAGCTACTTGCGACCTGAGTTTAAACATTTGTTTGAGCATTCTGCCAGTTCCAGCTTCTTTGCCTACATACCGCTTTACTTTTGGCGTCAAGTGCTGCATGAAACTAACAAGTACGCCGTGGTGAACGGCATTGGGCTGGCGAACCAGCTCACACTTGACGAGCTCATGATTTTCCTGGGCATTCTATTCTTCATGGCAACGAACGATAAAGGCGAGTACGCAAATTACTGGGGTCTACAAGCGGAGGATCTAATTTTTGGTGGTGTTACAACTTCGCTTGATGGCATCATGACGCTGCATCGCTTCAAGCTACTGCGGCGATGTCTGAGCTTCAATGCGGTCCCTAACACACTAGATCAAGATGCTGCAGCTCGCATCCGACCTCTTCTAAACCTGCTAAAGATCACTGGTGGTCAGTATATTCGCGTTGGTCGAGATGTTGCGCTAGATGAAGCAAGTGTTGCGTGTCGTTCGCGTCAAGGTCGCCACATGATCGTGTATAATCCCATGAAGCCTACTGGGAAATATCATTTCCGGCTGTACATGGTGTGCTGCTCTACTACGTGGGTCGCGCTGAATTACAAACTTCACTGCAACCGAAGCGACATCTTGGACAGACTGAATGGTGTAGTTGACCAAGTTGAAGCGCAAAACCTGCGAGAGGAGCTGGAGGAAGTATCTAAAATCAGACAGCATGTGTTGGAGGTAACAAGACCGCTATTCGGAACAAATAGGGTTGTCAACATGGACAACTATTATACGTCCGTGCAGCTTCTCCAGGAGCTCCGACTGAAAGGCCTCTATGGTCGCGGCACTATCCGTGCCAACAGCAAACATTTCCCAGGTCACACTATTCTTCACAAAGACGACTGTACCCGAGGGGGCTATCGCCCAGCTGTCTCGCACGATCACAGCATGCTTGCAGCGTCATGGTGCGACGGTAACGTGGTCAACCTTGTGTCCAATGCGGACTCAACGAACATTACAACTATCACCCGCATGGTTGGTAACGAGAAGCAGTCGTTTCCAGCTCCAGAGTGCGTCGCTCAGTATAATACCAATATGCAAGGTGTTGATCGCCTTGATCAAATACGCGGGCGATTCTCTACTGCAGATGGTCATTCGTACAACGCTGGCACAGAGTTGGCGCTCGCGCTCATCGATGTGGCGCGGCT